GGAAGCAGCACAAAGCATGATATCACGACGTCGGGTAAACTCAAAGCGCATTACTATATCGAGGCCACCCTTTACAAAAAATGGGAAGTTTTTTTAGAGGGCTTGTATGGCGAACAGTTGTTCTCGAAAAGATATCTGAGGCGGCTATAAGGATACGAATAAAGTTGTCGCCGTTCATCAATTCCTTATGAGGTACGCATTCTGCTTCCACTCAGAATCGAAATAGCTTATTGAACGCGATGTGGCCTATACAATAATGTGCGTGGTCTAGGCGATGTATAGGTCAGCGTTCTTGTCTTCCCAGCAGGGCACGCCATCTTTGTGATCATCACAACGGGAGGGGGGGGTCGTATTTGCCCGCGATGAGAGGGGGGGTCGTAAACGCATGGCCCATGTTGAAGTGGAGAGAGCGGTGATACACGGTACAAGTGAAAAGAAGCTCAAAAGGGACGATGTAGATGACAATAAATAGAACTAGCACTATCGAACTATTCTCAGGGCAAGAACTAAAAAAAATTGCTGAAATTTTTCCTCCTTCCTCACAAAAAAACTTCAAGATTCGCCCACCAACCCTCCTCATCTGGTCTAGATAAATCCCAATCCACTAATCGTCAAAATCTAGAAAAGAATCCATTGCAAAAACTACCTATAAACCGTAGAAATTGAATCCTGAGCAATTTCCTCACAACAAAATCAAACTCAACAAAACAAGCAATCAAAAATAAGTCACATCAAGATGGGAGTAAGAAAAAAACTCACCAGCCAGCTGGAACCGGAACTATGGATTACTTTTAAATTTTGGCTGTTCGCGGTCAGCGCGCTCATACAAGCTCATTGGTGCGCGCTATACGCTGCGAGCAATTTCAACCAAACCGGTGAACATTTACCCCTCATTTGAACACCCATAGCTCGTTGAAAGTGAAGCTAATCGGAGAGGGGTAAGTGGGAATGAGTAGAGCTAGATTGGCTCTTGTCACCTGAATTGAGCGATTTCAAAAACGTTCCGATTCCAGAGATTTTCCCCGTTGTGATCATCGTTGTGATCCGTCTGTGATCATTTTTGCGAACCGCGAGTCGCTACGCTTTGGACGTCCATGGCAAGCTTCATACACGGCCTTTCGTAAAAAAAGAATTGTGCCGGAAGCTTGAAGATTTCTACTTTCCAGCAAGGCTTTAATTTTCTTCCTAGGCCTGCTATTCGAAAAAATTCCCCGTTGTGATCATTTCGTGACCACCCCCACGACACGAAAAATCAGCCCCTCCGAGGCCATGAAACCTCCAGTTGGCTTGAAGACTTCGGTATGCTTCTAAACACATGTTTTCGCAAAGGGTATCAGGAAATAGGCCATTGGGCGCCAATTGGCATCACCTCTGCAATGCGCCATGCATGGGGCTTTCACGCAGGTGTTTGGAAGGTGTAACTTCTAGATAGGGCTTCCCAATTGCAAGCAAATGTGCTCCTGCAATCAGAAAAGTCCGGGAATGTACTTTCGTCTGTTTATTCATCGTCAGTCGTAAGTCCTTCCATTGTTTATAATTTTATGGTGCCTTGTGGGCGGTTGATTCGTAGGCCCTATCATCGCCCCTTTCCTCGTACGTATTGTCAGTATGCTACACCAGCGCCAGAGTGCTGGACGTGCTTGGGACGTACGTAGGTACTGCGACCTCCCCCCCCCCCCGCTCGACAGCAAAATTTTGTAAAAAAACCAGAAATTTTTGGGAAAAAATAGACAAAGTGGTAGGAGGTTGGAAAAATCTAGGGAAGAGGTAGCATGGAGAGGGGGTCGTACATGAAGATGGAATTAGGGGGGAGGGTCGCATTTTTCAGGAAATGATCACAACGCAATGGCGTGCCCTGCCTCCCAGAAAATCTGGTATCAGTTTCCTTGGAGGTCTAGGCTTGCTTGGTTGAGGGGGGGAGCATCCGCGGACTGAGTTAACGATACGGCGTGGTGAAGCGTGCACTTGAAAATACACCACCCTCCGCCTCAAGGTGGCTTACACGGAACTATTTCAGAACGCTGCGCTTTCGAGCATGAAGAACTCATTGGTAAGCAGAGCATCTTTCCACTACACTCAAACAAACTCGGAAAAATAATAATTTGGGGGTTCCTGTAATTAGGATACGATGGTATACAGCGTAGCAGTGTACTCATGTTACATGCAGATGTACATAGTTCAGAAAACTGAGCCGCGGGCCAAACGTACGCAAAGCAGCATCCCAAACTTGATCGGAACCGATTATGACACTGGACGACAAGTCGTGAGGAATACAGCAGTTCATCGATTGCTGAATTTTCAAAATAGGATGGTGGAATAAATGGTATGGAGCGAAGACTGTCATTAACCAATTAGTTCTACACCGCAGCGCTATGTTGAGCCAACTAGCTAGGAACTATTGCCCGCGCGCTATGCCGCGCCTCGGATGTCCTGACACCCATTTTTACCCACATCGAGCACGTGCCAGCTATAACCAGAGGACGATATCACCCAGCCATTTACATTCCAGAGAAAGCTGAGTCTCCGGAATCACAGGTTCAGTAAAAATAAGAATTAAGTCAAGAGATATTATGCTGTTTGAGATGTGAATAATAGTGGTTTGTTTACGGAAAGAACTGTGACATAAGTGATGGTATATCGGCACTTTCCAATGCATTTCGTGCTGTCGCAATATCGGAGTTAATGGCAGCTCGCAATCCTTCTGAAATAGATCCTTTAGATGAATAATAAACAAAATTGCAGTGATTCAACGTAGCTCCGAGAAAGGAGACTAAACATGCCCACCTAAGTCAGCAAAGGCGACCATTGGACGTATAAAGCCTATGAGAAGAACTTCCATCACAGAACCATAAAAATCCTGGTCATACTTCTCAAGTAGATGAACTTCCTTAAAAATGATCACTATAAAATTCTAAACTTCTCCTAGGAGAAGGCAACTTTTAAGAAAATTGAGAAGAAATTTCGGCGCAGTTCGCGTGAAGGAAGGCGGCATTCAAAGGACTCATTGAGCAAAATTAATAGTAGGCGAAGGAAATGAGGATATTTCAGAAAGCCTGGGAGGAGAAATTCTGTGGCGATTGAATCAGGTTCGTTGAGAAGAAGGGGCTTAGCGCTACAAATTCCAGTTGCAGGGAAAAAAATGCAAATGGAGCAAAATGTGCCCCTCCAAGGTGAACAGTGCCGAAAATTCTTTGCTACGGCGCTAAAAATAAACTGCACACTCATCTAGAGGGGCCCCTTTTCCTTTTTTTGCCCCCATGGCGAGGAGTGGAATGGTACGAGAGATAGGACGACAGTTCCAAGAAGTGATATACATGGCAGGACGGGAACACTTTTGGTGGGTGATAGAATGTGATAGCACCTGATAAGATTTGATAAGGGGCCTTAGAAAGGGAGGGTGACCGAGCCCATAGTGCGGGACACAGTTTATACAAGTGCGGACATTGGTTTCAAGAGTATTGATATGACGACGTGACAGGGAACCATTATTGATGGGTGACAGGGAATGATAGCAACTGCTAAGATCCGTCAAGAGCGTCAGAAGGGGAGGGTGACCGAGCCCATAGTGCGGGATAGGGGGGTATGTAGTTCGCCTGAAACGGGAATCTCAGGGAAATTCGAGGAGAACCGAAAAACACGAGCGGAAGGCTGCTAATTGAAAAGGAAAGCGTTCGTTGGTAGGCATTCCTGTGCAGGTAATGGAAACGAAATCTGCTATGTCACTGAGCGATTCATATTGCGCTGTATTGGCCGCAACACATTCTATCTATCTACAGATTTATGTATTCTATGGGCGTCATGGCGCGGACTACACCGCTGCTGTAAATGGAAGCGCGTGCTGGGATCTTAAGCCTTGCTCTGCCTGTTACGATTCGATCACTACAGCACCTTATGAGCAGCGCACTACCGAAAAAGTTCCGTTAAAATTATGGAGCCGCCTGGCGAAGCCAGGCCAGAGCTCAAGAGAAGGAGTGAACACGCGCGTGAGCGTCGATCGACTTATATATATATATATATATATATATATATATATATATATATATATATATATATATATATATATATATATATATATATATATATATATATATATATATATATATATATATATATATATATATATATATATATATATATATATATATATATAGGATTCCAGATCCCCTATGCTGCGTTTGTCGATTACAAGAAAGCCTTCGATTCGGTTGAAGCGAACGCAGTATTCAATGCGTTGAACAGATTTGGAATCAATACAAACTACGTCGACCTCCTAGAAGAGATGAACGACGGCTGCAGTACAGAGATCAAGCTCTTCAACGACCCCTGTCATATAAAGATTTGCAAGGGAGTACGTCAAGGAGACACAATTTCGCCGAAGCTCTTTGCAATAACACTGGAGGCCCTCTTCGGAAGTTTGAATTGGAGCGGCGGCATCGAAATCGACGGCGAAAATCTCACGCATTTGCTTTTTGCGGACGATTGCGTCATTTTTGCACAAGACGCAAGAGAGCTTCAGGACAAGCTGGTTCAACTTCAGAATAAATCAAAGGAGATTGAACGAGAATGAAACCTCTCCAAAACGAAATGGATGAGAAACCAGTTCAGTCCTATGACGGAGATTACAGTCGAAGGCGAAAAAATAGAAGAAGTCCAGAATTACGTCTACTTAGGATACCAGCTCAGCTTTACAGAGGGCGCTGGAGGAGAATTTAGGCAGCGCGAGCGAAAGCCAGGCATGGACTAGCTCAGCAAAAATCTCAACGGACGCACTGCTAGACGAAAGCCTTGCGATGGAAAATAAAGCGTCACTGGCATCCACAAGACGTACCCGCCACTACATATACGGCGCTGAGGCTGTCAAACACCAAAGCAGACGAGGAAATTCGCCCGCACGGCACGGTCAATGAACGCAGAATTGCAAAATACTCATTGCGCGACTCATATCTCGAACCACAGCGAAGTGCTTGTCTGATATTGTCCAGAGAACTGATATAAAAGAAACGAGCAATGGGCGGCCATGTGCGCGTCTGAGAGATAACGAGGATGGCGATCTTCCCGGGCTCATGATTGATCCTTGGATCGCAAACGACCGCTGGGAAGGCCTAAAACGAGATGGGCCGATCCAATGGTGAAAATGTTCGGCCAACAGTGGAAAAGATGCGCACAAGACCGGAATGAATGGATCAAAGTCGACTTGCGTGGATGGCGTAACACACGAGGACAAGTCGGATACAGGTGATACAGGTGATATATATATATATATATATATATATATAATTAATATATATTAATATATAGATATTATAATCCTTCATTTTATTTGCAGACGAGGTGGTATCAATTAACGGTTTTCGAAAGAATGGAAGGGCTTATGTTGGAGCCGTCAGGAGTCCCAGCATGCCCCTCACCATCTGTATTACATCGTCCTCCACTTTCGCACAAATTTTTGGTGTTTAGAATGTGGCTTAGAACCGGTTTTGTAGACCTGTAACCCTGCCATAGAAACTCCAGATGAGCCTTAACCTGAATTATAGTACCCCTGCTGAAACATAATCTCCGAGCATTGCTTAAGACTTTTGCTCGAGTTGCGCTGGCGCGAAATGTTGTCTCACGCGAAATAATCACGGATAGCAAACACACTTAGCAGGTAATGAGAACGGTAAGGGCGTGCTGCGGCTTCACGCTATTGAAATAGGTCGGAAACGGGGACGTGAGGGTTACTATAAGGTGCACGGTCCAGGTAGCTATAATAGCGAGCAATGGTTTACGAAATTAATATGTCGTAGAAAAACTCATATGTTGAATTACGAAAAACCGTGCATTTGATAGCCCCATGGCCGTGAAGGCTTCCAATGTAAAAGGGAAAGTTTTCGTTGAGAAGGATCTCAAAGAACTCGATATCAGAGAAGAATGCGCCGATGAGAAAAAAAGTGACGATTCTTGTTAGGGAATGCGCGATTCCGCGGAGAAAGCTTGCGCTGGGGAAAGCATGTAGCAGCAGGGAAGCTGAAATGTTTAACAAAGATAACTGTATTCCCACTTCCAAGAACTAATCGAGAAAGCCAGAAAACACAGGTCAACTCTGAAAGGCTGCCGTTTACAGTGCTTTAGGAACATTTTGGTCAGCAATCTAGAAAGCGGCACCTGTTTTACCACGCCTGACGCCTGCAGTTACAGAGAAACTCACTTATCAGAAGAAGGCACCCAACGCAAAGCCTTGAATAGTTTCACGCAATGTCAACGCAGAGTTCTAGTTGCAAAAGGCCACCCTTCGTCAATTAATAATAAGCTGTAGTGTTGAAATGAATTTGATTTTTTTTGAAAACAAGTATAAGCTTTGTTTTAACAGTTTCCTAGTAAGGCACCTGGCCCAAGTAGGTGTGCGCACATTCATTCAGTCCATGCACCGATAAATAAAGGATCGAGGAACGGAGGACTTCAGTGGTCTAAGTGCGACTTAACACGTTGACGACGGTGTCGGACAATGGTGGGCGACAGCCAGTCTGTCTCATGGGACGGTGTCGGACAATGCTGTCCGACAGCATACTGCTCTAATAATAAAGACGTGCGAGCAACCAAAAAAAAAAAGTATGTTCAAAAGATGTCTATAGGGGTAGACTAAAATTCTATAACGAACAGCCTAGTGGTTTGGCCTGGACTGCCGGCCCCCGCGCCACAGACGCCGGCCGCCAAAATACTTACGTCACCCAAATTGTTGAAAACTGTCTCGCGAGTAGCCATGAGCCCCTGCAACAGAATATCACATTCGTTCCCGGCCCATCAGGCGCTGGCGCCAAATAGGTTAGGTTCACCAGAATCACTGGAAACTTGTCTCGTGGAGTAGCTTGACCGCATTTACACGAATATCACAATCGCTTGCTACAAAACTGCCTGGCACCAGCGCCAAAATGTCCTAGGTCATCAGATTTTCCTAGAAACCTGTCTCTGTCGGTCGAACCGACCCCCTAAACAAAAGATCGTGTCCACTTAACGCGTTGACGAGGATTTCCGTCAATGGTGGACGACAGAAAGTTTGTCTTGTAAACGGCGTCGCCCAATGCTGTCCCACAGTTATTATATAACTCAAAATCTGCGCGATTGTTTCACTTACTTTTCATAAAATTAGTTCAAGAACAAACATTTTCGGGTCGAGGGCAAGCGATATTGTTCTTTATGAGATCAAACCACCCCGGAAGACAAATTTTAGTCAGCTCTGTCTCCAGAGGAAGAATTTGGTAAAAAATGGCCTGATTTTGGAAGATTGGAGCAATAAGAGCAAAATTTTGTTGAAGATTCAAGATTGGTATACTCGTCTCTTGCATTTCTCGATACATTTTGATCGTAGTAATTCATTTATTTGGAAATTACTAAGTTTCAATGCGGAAAAATGTGCCGTCCCACGCGCAAGTCATGGGAAAAATGGCTCGTCGTCAACGTGTTAAAGACAAGCTGGAAACTCAGGTCAGCTCCGAGGATACTGGTTGTTCCCATGAGTGGGTACATGGGTCGGTGCAGTAGCAGACCACTTTCTCCGGTAATAACTGCACAGGAAGGGGGCTGGAGGGTAGCGCCTATCTTTTATGCCGTCTCCTTTCATCTATATGGCTCTTTCTATCTCTATCCGCCACGTCTAACCGTGGCTCAAACAACGCTGCATTGTGTGCACCCTCTCACTCCTGATTGTTCCCAACCGCTGAGTACTGTTTCGCAGCGGGATCTTGACATCGACGCAAGTGCTGCACTCTGAAAATAGCGCGTAGCGAAACTATTGTGTTAGCAGTCGGTGCCACTGCTCCAGCAGGCCCTTCTCATGCACCTTTGATTAGAGAAATGTTCCCCCCCCCCCTCCCTCCCCCCCCCCCCCCCCCGCCCTGCGGACCCATTCACCTCATACATGGAAAAGACGGCCCAGAAACAGTTTGTGTACAGTTTGTTATCAATCTAGGATTCGACTAGCGCTCGGTTTAAGGCGCCTTCGCCCCTACCATCACTCCATCACTTATATTCGTGAAGCCTGAGAGGTTTATTGTGATCCGTGTACTGGCACCTGTGCATTTGCTAACACGACATCGACTTAAAGGCACATTCCGCGATAAAATGAGGCTATGACCTCTCAAATGTGTCGGACGATCCGGAGGGCGATTTTTGAGGCTGCGCTACTTTCAAAATGTGAAAAACGGCAAGAACTCCGCTAGAAGCTGACTAATTAGGCCCATGGACACCCCTTAGGCCCATGCCGACCCTCACCGGCTGCTAGCTACTAGCTAGTAGCCACTATGTTATCTTTCTCTATAACATTTCGGACTGCTTTTTCTGCTGCTTTTCTCCGCTAATCAGATACTTAGCACTTTTTTGTGCCTATTTGAGTTCCGTTTCCCGCAATTTGCGGTCGCGAACTGTGCCTTTAAAAACACTACCCGCGATCAAGTGGTAAGCGAAATACCTTGCATCTGCCACCGTTGTCAGCACTCGAAGAGGACCCACCACTTTCGTCACTAGAAATGACAACATAACGAAGCTAGATACGCGTTTTTGCAACTGGTGCAACCGGTACTCTATGCTCTATGTGAGACAACGACCCATAAGCGGAACTACGCATGTACGTAGCGTTGCCTGGAGCGTCGTAGGGCGAATGAGCCTGCACATGAATCTTGCTGCATAGGCTTCCTACAGGATGACTCGTCCAACTAGGCCGCCCTTTCACTATGGGGGTCTGTCCTCAGGGTGTTCCCAAACTTTTTTCGCGTTCTCTCTGATGAGTTTTTGATGGGCTACTTTTCATGACTGAGCACCTGCCACCTGTTACACTTGGTCGCGGGAACTGTCTTCAAACGCCACTCCATGATAGGTATTTCAAAATCTTTTCTGTCAATTTACAGTCTATGCTGAATTCAATACGAAAATTTCGAGCACAACTAACCAAAGTTTTCTTCTCGTTCTGATAGTGAGGATTCCATCCGATACTAGCCACCATTTTGACAACCTGTAAATCAATGTGGGGATAACTACGAGATGCGGAAAGTAAACTGAGAAAGCTAGAACGTCAATGTTAAAGAAGTCGAGAAAACTAGACGTCAAAACAACCTCATCTCCCCTCTATTCTTGCAAGCCAGGAGAAAACACAAACCCATGGGAGATCCGTTGGTTAGCAGCTTAACCCACCGCCTTGCATCCAGATTTGGCTGGAAATCAGAAATACTACGCGATATTTCGTCGGGGATAATTGTACTGGGCTGGCCCCATGATCACGGCTCATACCCAACGGGTTCCGTTTTCACACACCTTTGCATTCCGATCAAAATGCTGAAGCGCAGCTGCAGCATGCTCCGATTTGAAGCTCGTGTTCGAAAGCATTCCCTATTACGGTCTTCAAACATCGAGCGAAACGAGAACGGCTGGTGCGACGAAAACTCATTGCGTCGCGAAGTTTTGAACCTGTTGAATCTGAGTGAAGCCTCAGCCAGTAATGTGCTCCGCTAACAAAACCCACGATTCTCAAAACCTCTGAGGCATTTCAAGTGTCGTTAGCATCAGTTCGCGTGCGGACGAAGGGTGGCTGTCAGGCGCATTGGAGTCCTGGCGCGCGCTGCCGAGGCCCGCCTCCCCAACCTGTTAGAGCGGGCCTCGGCACGCGCCAGACTCATGGCGGTGTTGGAGCGAGCAAGTGACAAGATAGTATTATATCGTCAGAATCATTCGTTTTCTACCAATAATTGTAGCATACCCGCTTCAACAACCGGAAGAAAACGGGTTAACGGGTTAAGCGCCGTTGTCTCACAATTTCGCTGCCTGACGCGCTCCTTCATGCCACAAAGTACACCTTCAAGAATAAGCTGATTAAGCAGCTCACACTGACAGGGTGCGAGCGGACATTATTTCTCCTGAAGCCAGAAAATGAAGTTGCTGAACTGTTTAGACCAATTATTATAGTAAGAGGTTTCGCTTCCTAGTCATGCATTTCACGAATGGGTCTAAGCAGTTCTTGCACCTCGAGCGAACCCAGAAACGTGTAGGAACGCCCATTTTCGTCAAGGTAACGCTCACTTTTCACGACTTCAAATTTTGAATGCGAACTGTACACTCAGCTCCTATTACGGCCCTTTCCATGTATGAGCTATGGGTGCAGAAGTGCACCACCTCCTCCTTTCAAAAGTGCACGGGAACGATGCTGGAGGTGGTGATACGCCGAGGATGCCCGTTTCTTATTCCGCATGTGCGCTATTCTGAAGTGCACGCACTTAGCTCTGATGCCAAAGTCCCGTACGAACCACGCAGTCAGAGGTACAGAACGACCGGAAGTGAGAGCGTGTAGACGAATGGCACCCTGGCTATGGTTCGGCGGGGCGCTGGCCGTGCGGACTGGTGGGAGTAGTAGAAAGCGGTACCAGGGTAGGGATACCCTCTAGCCTCT